GTTGTTGAAGGAACAGCAGGTAACATTCAATTGTTTGCTTCCTGATTACCAGAAATTCGCGAGATTTTCGTAATCCATTATATTTTAGGCAATACTGGAATTGGCTTAGCACACGTATGTAGAGCAAAAGGGTATAATTGTGTGATTTATATGCCAAATACTCAAAGTCAAGAAAAGATTAACTTGTTGCGTATGTTAGGTAGATCAGATTTCTATTTATCTTTTTGATCTTTTTGATCTTGATGCGAAATGATTGAACTCATGCCGCTTATAATAATTCAAAAAACAAGGTGCTGAGGTATATCCAGTTCCAGCAGTTGCATACGAAGATCCTGAAAATTATAATCATCAAGCAGCTAGACATGCCCAAAATACACCAAATGCTGTTTGGACAAATCAATTCGATAATATTGCGAATCGCCGGGCACACTATGAAACCACGGGTCCAGAAATTTGGGATCAGACAAATGGTGAAATAGATGGATTCACATGCTCCACTGGAACAGGAGGAACACTGGCCGGCACCACGCGATTCTTGAAAGAAAAAAATCCGAAAATAAAATCATTTTTGGCCGATCCACCTGGTTCTGTATTATTTAGTTATTTCAAAAGTGGTGGAAAATTAATTGAAAGAACCGGCAGCTCTATTACTGAAGGAATTGGCCAGGGCCGAATCACTTCTAATCTACAGCCTGATGTCGATTTAATAGATGATACACTTCATATTTCGGATGAAAAATCAATTGAAATGGTTTATAGATTATTAGACGAAGAAGGCCTTTATATGGGAGCTTCCTCTGCATTAAACGTTGTCGCTGCCGTTGAGATGGCAAAAATATTGGGACCAGGTATTATATAATTTATAATTTTTTTCTGTTTGATCTTTTATGCTAAAAATCAATTGCTTTTAAGGAAAAAAGATTGTGACTGTTTTATGTGATGGTGCATACAGATATCAATCTCGTTTATTCGGTAATTTATCTTTTCATTTATTTGTCAGTTTAATTGTTCTGTATTTTGTTAAATTCATTTTTTTTAACTCAGATCATAAATGGCTGGAAAGCAAAAACCTCTTATCTGCTATTCCAGAGCATTTACGTAAATACATCGTGTTGTCTTAACTTCTAATTCATATTTGAGCAATCTTTTCCAGCAGTCTATTATATAATAGCTAGAATTAAATTATTGAATGTGGAACGTTAATAAACTAGATTAGAGTTGGTTAATAAAAACGATCAATAAAAAACAATTTTCAAGATTTGATGGACAGCTCGATCTATTGGGAGATTCGTCCAATCAGTTGAAATATTTTAAAGTGGTGAAAAATATAATTGGAATAAATTGGCTTCTTGGCTTTTTGCAACTAAAATTTCCTTCCATTAAATGATAATTAGTTCAAAGTGTGGTTGAATCAAGAAAGAATGAAAATTCACGTAAAGATTTATTGATGGAAATATGATTAGAATTTTCGCGTCGCATCCAGACTTCAAAGTGTCATTTAGATCGAATTCAGCATCTGAATCGACCGAATTATGGGATTTGCTGAATAATCAATTATGGAATTTCACGGATTCAGATACCGAATTCGATCCTCATAAAGAATAGATCAAGGAATACTAAACGACGCGAATTTGAAGATTAGGGACTCTCCATCAATACTAAATTATTGTATACAAAATTTATTAATATTAACGGGTTTTCTTTAGAAATTATTTTATTGGGCAAAGATCGAAAGCTTAGGATGCCAATCTCCGCGATAATTTATTTCAAGTGCGCAAATATTTTGGGCGCAGCCTTAAAATGTAGTAGGATTAGAATTTACCAACTACTTTTAAGAAATGAGAAAAAAAAGGAACATTTACTCACGCAATGGTCTACACAATGCAAAAAATGATATAATTCTTCGCTACCTATTGATTCAAAGTTATAAAAATATATTCATTATCAAAAATATTTTAAAACAATAAAAAAAAGCAAAATAAAAAAATCGATTTACAATTTTCTTCAGTTTCTCCTGATTCCACACGACGAGCGCATTCGTCTAAATGTGCTTTGAGAGGCTTACATGTTGGTGTCTCGCCACATTCTAAACATAGATAAGAGGGTGAAGATACAAATACAATGAACTCGGTAAATTCAGTTATTTGTATAATTCACCTTCTTCTATTTTAGGTTTGACATCCTCCGGTTCTTCGGGTTCTGAAACAGTTACTTCCTCTATAACTTTAGGCTCTTCAGCGGGACCGTCTGCGTGTACAATGGGAAGGATCTCATTAGATTTTATTGTTTTCGACATCTTTTTGCTGTAAAAAACCTCAGATCTTAATCACATGCAAAAAATCGTTTTATATTCTACCTTTGCTCATTCAGTGTAACGTCATACATAATCTGGTAAATGAAATGATTTATTTCGAGCATTCACCCAAACTTTTCATTATCGCCAAAATGGCAGAACACGCAAATTATAGTTCCTCTTCACAGTTTCAGTCACCAGAAAACTCAATCCCAGTAAGCGACAGCCCTTCACAATCAGCTGTTGACGTTGGAATAACACCTAGTAACAATGCCCAGCGTTTAACTCCAATACTGCATAATACCGCGAATTTAACTCCACGCGGTTTAGTTTGCTCGTTTCTCAAACAACATTCTTCCTACGATGTTCTACCCGTTAGTTACCGGCTTATAGTATTAGATACCACATTATTAGTAAAAAAGGCGTTAACCGCTTTAATGCAAAATGGTGAGCGTTTCACTTTGCAATAAACTCTACTTGACTCTTTCGTTGCCGCCGTTTGTGAAAGGTGACGTTCAAATTATTGGTTCTCATATAGTTTTTTTGTGGCCAGCCTGCATATAACCGTTTCAAATGCCGTGTGATTTATACTGAACAGGAGTTGTCTCAGCCCCTTTATGGGATTCGACGAACCAAAAATTTGCAGGAATGCTGACAGTATCCGATTTCATGAATCTAATTCAATATTATTACAAGAATTCATCGTATTCTGTCGCATTAGAGGAGATAGAACAATTTCAAATACAACAATTAAGAGGTTAGCCTATCGGATTTATATGATGAATTTGTTGCTTGAGATTCGCGCATTTTCTGATACATTCTCATGAATTATTGTATTTAGAGGTGGAAAGACGAATCGGTATTCCAGCTCCTCAATTGTTATCTATACATCCACTCAAATCATTATATGAAGCATGTAAACTGCTAATAGAAGCGCGTGCACACAGATTACCGTTAGTGGATGTGGATTCTGAGACTGGTCAAGAAATGATCGTTTCTGTAGTCACTCAATACAGAATATTGAAATTTATTGCAATGAATGTAAGAATAAATATTTAACATGATACCTGAGAATCAATTATTGCATCATCATCATCATCTTCTTTTTCTTCTTCACCTTCATAATATTTTATTATATTAATGTTGGGTTAGTGCAAAGAAACAAAACTATTAAGAAAGCCATTAGCAGAGATCAAAATTGGCGTATATAATAATCTTGCAACCGCAAGTTTATCGACGCGAGTCATTGAAGTAATCAATACATTTGTCGAGAGACGAATATCATCCGTGCCAATAGTAGACGAAAATCGTAATTTTAAATATATAAGATCAAATGCAAATTTAATATGCATTTATTCATTACTTATGTGACAATTTTTTCTTTACAACATAATAGAGGTGGTAGTCAATGTTTATGAGACTGTAGATGTGATGGTATGCGCAGATTTCATTAAATATATGCTAATATCTAACATGTAAATGATGTACTGATTATTTGTAAACATATTCAAAATAGACCTTAGTTCGTGCTGGCGCTTATTACGGCATTGATTTACCTGTTGGTGAAGCAATTCTCAAAAGAACGGAGGTAAAATCGCTGTCTCATCTTCGAAATATATTCTTTGAGTAACTTTTATACTCAAATGTCAATTTTTCCAGGATTTTCCAGGAGTTCACACTTGCACGCTTAATGATTCACTTTCCTCTATTTTTGACTTGATACGAAAGGCTCCTGTGCATCGTCTTATTGTCGTTGATTCAGAAAGTAAATTAAGAGGAATCGTTTCATTATCAGATATAATGCGTTATTTAATTACCTAAATGAAAAAATATTGGTAGTCTTTTTCTTAGGTGATATCAATAACGAGCTTTTTTAGTTATTAAAGATTAGATATAAAATAAAATGTACCACATTATTGTGTAACTATTTTTATATTAACAAATTTGTAAATTCATTGGAATAAGCCGTAGTCCAGACAACCTTTCGTTATTTTCCGAAGTACCACCCCACCTCATATTAGTTCCGATAAGATGGTAATTTTTCAAACTATGGTTGGTAATTTACCCCCCTCTATAAAGGCGTGTTCTGAACTGTTTGCAACTCGAATTTTCAGAATTCATTGAAATCCACGCAAAAGGAGAAGGTGCGGCAGTTTATGACGTTTACCAGCGCCAGGTAGTACTTTTATTAAGATGGTCGAAAAGAACTCTAGGCCGCTGTTTCTCTTTTGAGACTACTTTGGAAATAACTATGCTTCTAGTATAATTAATGGAAACTCTCCTGCGATTATCGTAGCGAAAAAATCGCTCTTCGAAAACTTAAAGACTTTAATTGGAACGTAGAAGTAGCAGTTGACGCTTTCTTTAATGATCAACCGGCTACCACTTCATGGAATAGGTTTGCTTCGCCGGTACCCTCAGGAGTTGATACCAATAAGCTTAATCAAATTTTTAACCGATATAAAGGTAGAGAGAGGGATAACTCGGTTTCATGAGGCTTAGGGTGGGCCTTATTTTTGGCCCTTTTTTCGAGGGTTTTCAACAAGTATGAAAAACTCTTATTTTTGAATTATCTTCTGGTCGACTAATATTCTATAATGTTCCTGACATTTTAGATAAAGACGAAGACGCCATCCTTGTCGATGGAATGCTTCACTATTGCAATGATTTGCGTGTTGCGCCAGAAGATGTCGTGATGTTGGTTATAGCTTGGAATTTAGAATCAGAAAAAATGTGTGAATTTAAACGCCAGGAGTTTATCAATGGATGGACAAAATTAAAGTAATATTTATTATCTAATTATGATTCATATATATAGTATGTCTAAATCTTTTTGGTTATAATTTTATTATTATTACTTTTAATGTCATCCGTCGTCTTTTCTAAATACCAGGTGTGACACAATCGAAAAGATGCGAGCTGCTATACCAAGACTTCGACAATCTTTAAAAGAAGAGACAACATTCAAAGAGGTTTATCTATTCACATTTAAGTATGGGCTTAGTGAAAATCAAAAATCCCTGAGTAAGAATATATTTTTAATTCGTGTTTTATTATTCATTCATTAATTTATTAATCTTAAATAATTTCTTATGTAGACCTTGATATTGCAATTGCATATTGGCAACTTTTGCTGCGAGACCGTTGGCCACATCTTGATATATGGATAGAGTTTATTAAGGTTAGATTATTCTCGATAAACTTGGAAAAAATATATTCGTGGCTATACGTTAAATGCTAAATTCATATCATCTCCCTATACAATCAGGAAAAGCATGGAAAATCCATTTCGAAAGACACGTGGAACTTGGTAGGATAAATTGTATCCGATTGATTAATTAATACACTTTGAAATTTTGTATGACAATTAATGAATCTCCTTTTCATTTAGCTGCTGGATTTCATTAGACAGGTCAATCTAGATCTGTCGAATTATGACGCTGAAGGTAAGAAAAGTTATCTTTATAGTATTATGTATGTTATAAAAACTCACGTAAGTTTCTCTTTACAATTTTTTAGGCGCTTGGCCAGTCTTAATTGACGAGGTAAAGTGTCAATCCGAATATTAACTGTGATCGATATCACAAAACTATTGATACTGAATTTTCTTCTATATATGTTTGATAGTTTGTAGAATATGCTAGAGATAAACTACAAAATTTGTCCAATCATTAATGAAAGATAGAAACGCATAATCAATCACATCTGACAAGAAGATAGGATGTTTTTTGGTAATAATTTTTTCTGTACATGTATCTAATACTATACGAACGTCTCATGGAATATCATATTTAAGTATAGAATATAAATTTATTCCAAAATTAAAAATGAATCACTTTTGGCTCAATTTATTGATGCATAATCGATTTTGCATGTAAAACTTCCGAGCTTCTTATATAAGACCGACTTTCTGAATTCTTAAAATTCCACCGTTCCCGAATCAGAGATCTCCCTAAGTACGGGATGTTCAAACGCACACTATATATATTCTGGCTCAGTTCCAAGCTTATTAAGCTCTAATTATTTTACTTTCTATAAAATGCACACAATGTCTGATAATGATATGGTCCCAAGGTGATGTTCATTAGGGTATAAGAAAAAGCACTAATAATTATAGACTTATATTCAGCAAGATGAGAAGTATAAGTTCATCGCTTGATTCGAACGTTTTTACATTCAGATTAATTGAGTTAGTTCTGTTTTCTTGGTTCATGAATATGCGAAAATTGTGTTTTTTTTTTGGTGATGCGTACTAATGAGATAAGAGATTGCGATACATATTTAATTAATCTAAGAAATATCTCGCTTCAATCTATTTTGGATTCATCGATAAATAGCACAAAAAATATATTGCATGGTCCATTTTATCGTACTAGCACGCTTTTCATCTTGGCAGCATGCCTTATTTTACAATTAATCCCTAATATCCCTCGGGGTTTTCTATTTCGCTCGACTTAATATCACTACACTATAGAGTCTCTTAATAACATGACATTACTGCAAGCTTTCATATGCTCGTAGTCTTTTTAAATCGGTATATACAGTGGAAATAAAAAAAATGCAATGCTTTAAAAAACATCTTTTCTGATTGCCACTGTACGGTTTAAAAAGTCATGCAAGTATTTCTAACACGATAATTACACACTTACTGTTTATCAACAGGCCCTGAACTTCCAGTGATGCATAATTTCAGAGTTGAGATTGGTAGTTGCTTGAGTTAATACCTACTAGTAACTTTCAACGCGAATTTGTCAAAGATTTTACTATATATAGTGCGGGGGTAGTGTCACATGATAATCTACCAATCCAATTACAGCTTCTTTTCCATATTTTCAGTCGAATAACTAAGATTGTAATATACCAAGACCAGTTCAACTTTAATCTATTGTCACAATCAATTTGAATTTACTTTTGTAATACAAGGTTTATTAATCAGTTTTTTCAATTAAAACAATAGTGATATAGATCTACATTTGTTTTTCAATAAGTGAATTATAATGCTGTTGAAATTTTCAAAAGTAAATCTATAAGATTATGATATCACAAATTCTTTTTACGAATTACATTAATTTTGAAAATTGTAGGACGGATGTGTATATGTAATTTCAAACACATTTTGTCATTAATAAATTTATTGTTTTGCTCTGATATATTATTTCACGCTGTGACTTGTCTTGAACATCCGTTCTTCACAAGTTACACTTCCTTACTTAACCTGAATAAGCATTGCCACCATTAGGTCCGTGCATACCTGGATGACCACCAGCAACTGCATGAGGAGAAGTAGGAGTACCCATTCCAGGTGCACCACCGGAAGCCGAAGCAGCTGCTTGAGCATTGTAGCCGTATCCGTAATATTGTCCATACGCATCATAATTATTGTAATATTGTTCCCAACCTGCTGCTGGATGTTGCTGTTGACCAGCCACTACTGCTGCTGCTGCAGCTGCGCCATCTAAAGACGCCAGAGATTGCGGCGGGGCAGACATTCCAGGAGGTAAATCAAACCCAGCTTCTGGTCCAGGTGTAGCATAGGGATGACCTTGCGTATTATAATATGCGTAAGGGCTATAGTTGTAAGTGCTTGGTACTCCGTAAGCATGATAAGTAGTTGCTGGTTGATCAGGAGCCCTATCTTTTCCCCAAGAACACTATTTACAATTTATATATTGTTAAAACTATATATAAATGATATCAACGAATAACTTCTTATTCGCTTACCTTTATAACACGGCCATTAATTGTAGTTTGTTGCAAATTCACAATCGCATGAGCGGCATTTTCATGTGTATCGAGTCTGGCAATATATGCACAAAATTCATAAGAAAATAAATTTAACTAAACGATTGTTCGATTAACCCACTTACTTCACAAAAGCAAACCCACGATCTGCTTGCATCCGAACTTCAATAATATATCCATATGGTTGAAAATATGGTATCAAATGCTCCTCTGTATAATCGAAGAAATTAATCAATAATTATTTAAAGAAATAAAAGAGAATTTAATTAATAAATAAAAATTTAAAAATTACGTGTTGTATAAGCTGGCAAGTTCCCAACGTAAACGGTACTGTTGTATTGTGGCGTTTGTTGGACAACAATATCGTAGGAAAGTTGAGGGGCTTGAGGAGGAGTTCCTATTGTTTAAATACCCTAGGGGCATGAAAGATAATTTATGGGTTTATACAAATAGCTAAGATAAAAAATTACCTTGCCTTTCCGATGTTGTACTTCCTGGTCCAGGTTGACCTTTTTGGTTGGCCCAGTTACATCTAATTGCGCGACTTCCAAGCCACTCGCCTAAAATTGTGAAAATTAAATTTCAAACAAAGAAAAATATAATATATAAAGTTAATAGATCCACCATTTACCGTTCATAGTTGCAATGGCTTGTTCTGCGTCCTAAGTTTCAAACATATATTATTAATTTTAATTTATACAATCAATAAAGTTGCGTAAGATTCATTCTAAAAAAGCTACCGTTTTATCGCGAAAAGCTACAAAACCATATCCTCGAGATTTACCAGAATTGACATCCCACATTACACGGGCATCCCTAATTTTTAATAAATTATTTATTTCTCAAATTGATTTGATCAATGGAATGAAATAAAAATACTTACGACATGCTGCCAAATGCACTAAAAGCTTTCGCTAGCACCTCATCATTCACTTCTGGGCTCAAGTCACCGACAAAAATATGATAATGATCTAAATTGGAAGATTAATTAATATCTACTCTTTGGCTTTGAGAAATCCAGCGATACTTTACTTGATGTGTCCTCTTTGTGCCCTTGTTGACCTTGAAAAGCCCAATTCACTTTAATTTCCTAATTATATAATTATTTGAATTTTTGTTTGCTATTTTTTTTTAATATTTAAAATAATTTGATTTGTCTTTACCATGTCGAATATTCGCCTTCCATTCAACGTCTGGAGAGCTTGTTCTGCAGAACGATGGTCATTAAATTCTACAAATCCATAATTCAAACCGCCATGTTGATACTAGGAAAAAGAAAAAAAAGTTGCAACAAATAATACATAAATAAATATTTGTTAATGATAAACTGATTCGAAGAATTATCTAATATCAAAGCTTTTGAGACAGTGCTAAGTTGTATAAGGGAATCGCCTACGAGCCATACTCCAATTTTGTCTTGATTGGAAAGAAACGTCGCCTCTTATAATCAAGAACAAAAAAGCATTACAATTGCCAGAATAAAGGACGAGTATTCGTATACATATATATAGAGTCTAATAAGAAAACTAGAGTTGTTTGCTATATGAATTCAAAATCTGCTCTGAATTTAATTGGTGTGTGATGAAACGTTAAATGAAGAAAAAAATAATCCGAATAAAATGATGAAATCTCGAAGGCAGAAAGAGTAAATGGAACTGAGAGATAGATAGAGAAGAGAGAGACATAGAGATACTGAGGTGAAGATAAAGGAATTCCAACCTTTGAGCTGCGTCATTGTATTTATGGAGCGCAACTCGGAAGAGTATCCAGCAACCACAAGAGCCATAGTCGGATTGACAATCCAGAATGAAGTCACTCGTTCTCAAAATAGTTTGTTGCACTTCGTTATTTTATCAAAGGAAAAAGAGTAGTTTTGCCAAATCATAAGGCGTCGAACATCACCCGAACCCTTACACACGTCTTCAGGAACGCCTCAAAACACCTATAATCGCCCTATGGTGGGGCTATACTATAAAGTCAAACTCACATTTTTGTCGGGAATAATTTTGGTGTTGTTCACAGAACCAGCCACCGAAAAGATCTCTTGAAGCATACTATCAGTTACTCTTGGGTCGAGATTTCCGACATAGAGACTTTTACAACCTTCGTCGGTAGCACCCATCGTTAGGAGAAATCAAATGCAAAATAAGGTTATAAAAAGAAATTTATTTCAAAAAAGATCTCGAAACGTTAGTTGTTATTATGTAAAAAAATTATTAGATAACCTAAAAAAGTTTTGGCGGGAAACTATAGGGTGAAATTGACTTGATGTAGGAAGGAAAAAAGGATTCCCGAGCTACGCTACGATTGGTTCAGTTAACTTACGCAAATTTATGACTTCGTCAACAAAATACAATTTGTGCCAGCATCAGATAAAAGTCCGCGATTGGCCAGCACGATACCTGTGACGTATATAATTTCTAGAAAACAATAAAACTTTTATGGTGAATCCGAAGATAATGTTACCGAATTGGATTTAAATAAATCTCATGCCTCAATTCGGGTGTTTTACTGTTCTAGAAAAAGCTCTCTTACTTCTTAATGCTGTAATGTATGCATGAATCAGTGAATTTGCCTCATCTTTTTGCTCTTTATATTGTGTTTAACAAACAACAGTAAAACCATTAAAGTTTAGCTCAGTATATGATGTGTTAATGTATCGATTTGCCATTAGTAAAAAATATGCTGACATATGAAAAATTAAAATTAACGTTGTCCATCAAGTGTCACTTTCATCTCTCCTTCACAACACCACAATTCCAGTAGTTATATTCTTCGGAGCCGCCGATTCTTTGGATTTTACAACACCATTACAAAGTCTTTGGTGTAAGCTTTCGTTCTAATAATAACATGGGCCCCTGATTCTTTGGCTTTGATGATCAGGCGTTGACAAAACGGTAGTATGTCCAGCAGAGCTTTCAATTGATTTTCTTGTTTTATGATAATCATGCCGAAATCTCAAAGAATGGAATGATGCTTGCGTCAAATTCACGCGTAAAGAATATAATCGACTTCGGTAAGTCTCATTTCGCAGACATAAAATTTACGTTGTATCTTAGTAAATTTTCTAATCTTTGGATTTAAGCTTTTTATGTTTTGATATAACTTGTCTTTCTTTGAACTGAGATTAACCATGTATTTGCTTGCAAATACAAAAGTGTGACTGAAACTTTAATAGAGATGCAAAGACAAAATTGATAGCATTATTATTAATATCAAGATCTTAATTGTTTTTTCTAATTTTGAATGTCAAATTATCGTGAATTCTTTAAAAAAAAAACTCTAATTTTCAGAAGTTTTGAATTTATAGCAATTTATTTAATAAATTCTCAATCTTTTCAAGTATAATATTCATTTTAAACTAAGCTTAGAATATTTGTCATAACAATAAAAAATTATAATAATAATTAAAAGTAATATTTATTAATAAAAAATAATAAAATATGAAACTTTCTCTTTATATTAATATTTTTTATTTTAATTTAAACAAAGAATTCATAATTTAGAAATTAAAAATCTTTTTTAAGATTCAATTTAGCTAAATAATAAGAATTATAATTAATATAAAAAATCAAAAAAAATGGCGCTTTTTTGAATAAATATTAATTTTATATTTCAGAATAATTTTTTAAAAATAATTTTTAAATATTTTTACTTTTTATATGAATATATTTAATATATTAATTAAGATTTTTAACTTTACAAAATCAAAGATTAATATAATATATTTATTATATTTTGATAAATTCTAAAAATTATAAAATTATTTAAAAATTATTTTATTTTTTAAATTATTTTGAATTCAAAATAAATTTAAAAAAAATAATTTAAAGGTAAAAAACTTAATTTTTTATTAATATAATTATTTTAATATAATAAATAAATTTTTTTATTAAGTTATATAATATAATTAATATTATTTGATTAATTTAAAATAAAAAATTAATTTAAAAAATATATTTTAATTAATAAATAAATTATATAATTAAATCTTTTTATAATTATATTATTTATAATTATATCTCTTTATAATTATTATTTAATTTATTATCAAATTTTTAATTAATAAAAAATCTTCAATTAGTTATAATCTCTTTATAATTATGATTATTAATAAATAATATTCTTAATAGATATTATAATAGTGTTTAAAAGTAATAACTCAGGGACTAAATTTATTAATAAATATAATGAAAATTAAAATTTTCTCTTTATATTAAAATTTATAATTTTAATTAGAAATAATTTTTATTTTTATATTAAAATAAAGTTTATTAGTTGTAATTTAATATATATTTTTTTCAGATTTTTTAGATTTTTTCTGAAAGAGTTGCTCTAATTGTAAAGTTAATGCAAAAATT